CCCCCTGCCCTTCCCGGCCCCACTATGCCATTTCTCCCATTCACACCCACGAAAATTCTCAGTATCCATGAACCTGAGGAAGGCGTCTCTTCCAGGAATACTTGATCACCACTTAGGTCTGTTCCCGGCGTAACGATAGAATTACAGGGAAGGGGAAAGAGGGACGGGCTTAGGTTACCCTGGAAGAGCTGGAGAACCTTCGGCAGTGTGTTCTTTGTATTCACGTGAGCATTATGTTCTCCAGTCCAGAGAGGCGCTCGACGTGTCTTTTCAGAAAGGGCAGATCGAAAAGCAGTCCTAGCTCGTCGTAGGTATATGTCCCATAGTATTGAGGGGTATTGAGTGAGGTCCATTTCCTTGGGGTTGCTTGGGACCGTTCTGCACGGCTACACGGAGTGCGCAGCGCACGGCCATGGCGGCACACTCTGTTCCGCGCTGCATTAATTGCTGGAGCCCCAGGCCTTTGATCCAGAGCGCTGCCAACATTCCATTATCTCTGAGCATTGCGCGCGCGCCGGGAACAGAGATCCAGTCCGGGGGCAAAAAAAGTATTTCAAGAGATGGGGGGCGGAAATGAACGGCAAACACCGCGGGGCCGCTCTCCGCCGCACTACCGTCCCCACGCACTTCACGATGGCGTCGGACCATGCTGGTCCACCGTGCACCGCATCGTTCGACGCGCGGCACACTCGCTCCTTCCGGATAAACAATCTGTTGGTCGACCCACGCTGCCATGCTGCCCTTGCGGCACCCTCGCTCCTTCCCTGTTTTGTATTTTCTAAACCCGGCAAACAAAGTTTCGCCAAGACCTCTCTCGAGATTAGAATCACTTCGAGTCGAACGGCTGCATCGCGCTTGTGCCGGCGGTGCGGTGGAGGACTTCCCCCGTTGGTAGTTACACAGTTGTAACAACAAGCCATATTCAAAAAGCTACAGATGTAGCTCGCGCCTGCGAGATTCGGGGTAGGCCACCCTGTAGTACACGCAAGCACTACAGGCAAGATGTTGCCTACCTAGCAGGCGCTAAGACCTTGCAGTGGGTGAACTAGGCAATGTCGTGACAGCGGATGACAGAGTAGGGACAAAGGCTCGTGTGAAGGGCAAATAATGTGCCCAAGAATAGTCTCTAATTTAACTTTGCCTTTAGGTGCCGGGTTTGGGTCCGAGCTAGTGCTACTGCTGGGTCCCACAACCACCCGCCAGCTGGCCGGTCGCAGATTCACTGCGCAGGAGGAGCGCCTCGCGGCCTACGTCAAGAGGATGTGGGTTGACTTCGCCAGGACAGGGTGAGTACGTCACGGAATGACACGTCATGTTGGTACCACGATGGCAGACTAACCCTCCCCCTCCAGGAACCCCACCCCGGGCGCGCGCGGCTACGGCGTCTCCTGGCGGCGCTACACCGAGGCGGACCAGGGCTTCCTGTCGCTGGTGGCTGACGGCACTCAGCCCATGCCGATGCGCTCCTACTCGCACGAGGCGCTCCTGGGGGCGGCGCCGGCCGGGCCGGGGGCGCGGGAGCTGCAGGCGGAGGCGGCCGCGGGCGGCGGCGGGGACGCGAGGGCGGCGCACCTGTGGAACACCTTCCTGCCCCGCCTGCACAACGAGAGCATCGGCAGGAGGGTGGCGGGCTGGGCGGCCTCCAGGGAGGCGCCGCTCACCAACGGTAAGTAGGGCCGGGGGGCCGGGCCCGCGACCCACGCACGACTCTGGGGACCGCCGAGTACCTGACATGTGTCTTCGCGCCCACAGCACAGCCGTTTCGCTCCGCCATGTTCACGCTGCTCGCGCTGGTGCTGCTGCTCCTGCTGCTGCTGGTGCTGTGCCTCGTGCTGCTCAAGAGGCGCGCCAAGGAGCGGGGCCGCGAGCGCGACTCGTTCTGACGACGGCTGGGGGCGGGGCTGGGGACCGGTGCACCTGGCGGCCGCCTCCGCCGGTGCCTGCGCCGCCTCCGCCGCCGCCTCCAGCCACCCGCACGGCAACGACGGGCCAGCCTGCCCACGCCGAGCCAGCCCCAGCAGAGCTCCGAGGCCGGCCCCGCGCATGCTGCCAACACCCTGGGCTCGACGCGGGCCTGGAGGTACAACGTGACGACCGACCAGCTGTGAGCAGCGTGGCCCAGCACCACCCATT